CTATGTACCTAGTAGAATATTATGTTATAACATAATATGGTGGTAGTAATGTTATCATTATGTTTGAAATGACACTTTTAGGAGTTTTTACTGATAAAAATGCACACTTTGGGAATGAAAAGAAATTTATATTATGTCACTGAAATCAAGAAAATATAAAGGGTATAAAAGTTAGGCAATAATAAACTGGTTATTTACAAGAGGAGGAAAGAACATCATTGTAGAAAGTCATGAACTAAGTGCAGTACTTGGATTTTGATTAAACATAACAATTACTCATCACTTTGTACCTTCATTTTGGGGAAAAATGTTATTCATGGTTGTCTTGAAAATAATAACACAGTATTTCATGTCCTGGAAGCTGAAAGGATCATCAATGGCTCAAGTAGGGAGATATCAGACAATTCCTGCTCTCAATTTCTGGTGAAACAATAGTAGATATTTTCAGAAACCTTGGAATCTTAAAAGAATATATTCATCTTTAGATAAAACTTTTTTATGATATTTATAATTCTCTAAAAGCCATGTTAAATCATTTGAATTAGTTGTGCCCTCCGGAGTACTGCTTCCCAAAACTTTTTTTTAAAAGATGTATGTATTTATACAAGAGATGGGGTGCAGGCCAGAGGCATGGGAGGGTGAGATGATTCACCAGAGAAACAGAGCAGGAAGCAGAACAGGCAGATGGACTGAAAATACTGCTGAGAGGAGCAGCGGGCGAGACAGGAGAGGTCTGCCGCGCCATGTGGGTAGCTCCTTGGCTGGCCGGGACTCAAACCCGCGCTGCAGTGGCTGGAACAGCCCCACAGCACTGTGCTCAACCCTCTGCGCCACCAGGGAGGCCCCCCAGAAACCTTTAGACCATCACCCAGAAAAATAAATAATCTGTATTGGAACCCAGGCATGGAAATAACAGTACACATGCATATAATTAACAAATACGAGGACATAGAGCACTAATTATCCTAACAGTTAGTGAAGTAGATAAAAACTTTTCTGGTCCATTTCCTTTTTGTTTATGTGATGCTGTCTTACAATCTGAAAGGAAAAAATGTCTTTCTCTTGAATATGGTTATAGATATTGCAATTCTCTTTAAGAGAGTACAGTTGCCATTAATGTGTGAGTAAATGTTTAAATATTTGCATAACACAATTTAAAATTAAAACTGCTGCTTTATTAATATGAAATGTAATTTAATTTTTTACAGTATTTCTAAAAGCAAAGGGAAGATTCATAAAGCAGATGAGACAAGTTGTTTGATAAAATGTTTTACCCTGTGTTTCATGAAAAGTCAAGTCTGGTTGAATTATTGATAGTTCTAAAGTGATCCCAAATTAAATACCGCTCCTTCTGAGCTGATTCAATGCACCTTTAGATTTTTTCCCTTTACTGTGGAATTGATATTTCTGGCTTTGAAGATCTGAATTTTAAAAATTGAAATTAGACTTGTCGATATCTGAGTTAAATCATTTAATTGTGGTAACTGCTAAATTTTTGGTTCAACTAATTTAATCATTGATTTTTCTCCCTAGTTCAGTGGTGGCGTTTTTAGCATCACACATCACTAGTAGCATAATATCAGTCTCTTAATACCCCAACATTTCAGTTCATCCTAAAATGGTGGAGCCTAGTGACCAGCAAGTAGTAGCCACTCAATATCTTAGTAAATTAGTTTTTTTTTTTTTTAATTTCAGCTGAACTTAAATGAACATCTTTGATGTTCTGTATAGGTCATCAGACACCTTCAGTAAAGCATCTCACACACACACACACACACACACACACACACATTCGTTGTGATTCCTTCTAAATTCCCTACTTTCCCCAAAACAGCATTAATTCTAATAGTACCTTTAGTGACTTTATTTTTTTAATATTTTTAGTAATTCCTCTGCTGCTACCAGAGATGACTAAAAAAATTACAATGATTAAGGATGCTTGGTAACTGGGGTATGTACCATATATTTCAGAAAATCTAGACACGTTTGGGAATAATTCAAATAAATCTTTTAAAACAAGGATAGAAAATACCAATTTTTCACATTATCTAGTCTTGAAAGAGAATGGAAGATTCTGGGAGATAGTTTTTCTACTACAATTGAGGTGATAAGTCACACTTGAAGTTATAAGTAAAAATAAGAAAATAAGAATGAGAACAAGTAAGAAGGCACTTTGAAAAGTCTCCCATTTTCTCACTGAAATCTGCATAAGGGCTATGCAGTCCACAATTTTAGCATAAGTTGTTGCAAAAACAAATGTTCGGTCTCTCCAAAATTTTAACAACAGAGTTATTCATGTATGTGAAAGGCAGAGTTAGAAGGATTGGAATCAAAACCTACTTAACTTGCTTGTTATAGTGATTGAGGACATATCTGTTCTTCATAAATGCAATTTCCCAATCATTTGGTACCTGTGTCCAGTAAATCAAATATGGAAGGTAAACATCATGGTAAAAGGAGAAAGCAGGACAAATAACTTCTATTTGTGTCTATTTGTTGCTAACTGGTCTCAGTTTCACCCTACACAGTACATTGGATTAATGTGAAATAAATAGGGTGAAATAAAAAATCCAGCCTGTTCCCTTACCCCTTAAGAATATAAGCAATGTATTTTTAGAATTTGGAAATATAGTGTTACATCTTCACCATGCCCTTAAGGGATATCCATAATTTTTTTTTAAGATTTATTTATTTTTATACAAGAACTGGGGTAAAGGCCAGAGGCATGGGAGTGTGAGAGGATTGACCAGAGACAGAGCGGGGAGCAGAACAGGCAGAGGGACCGAAACACACTGCTGAGGGGAGCAACAGGCATGACAGGAGAGGTCTGCCATGCCATGTGGGTATCTCCCTGGCTGGCTGGGAATCGAACCCGCACTACAGAGGCTGTAGACAATTTCACAGTGCTGCACTCAACCCGCTGCGCCATTGGGGAGGCTCTCCATATTCTTTTAACTCACCATATGTATTTAAAAAAATGACCTTAATAACATTTCTTACTTCACCTTTCCAAGATCCTTCACCTGATTTTCTTATCCCTGTATTGTCTTGCCATTTGTTTTCCTTTTAAGGAACATAATACTGAATACGTACAAAGAAAAACAGTTTTTCCTACCATGTGTTTCTTCTTTACTCTCACACTCCACCACACACTCAACAGCACATACGAAGTGTTCCCCTGCATCAAGCAACACTTTGTCGCACCAGCTAGGTGCTTTCCAGTTCAATTCCATTCTGACACTCACTAGAAGTCAGTGGAGATTCCACAGTTTCATATCTCAGTCCAGAAAACTGACTCCCACTCCCTAATCCCCACCCCCACACAACTAAGATGTCAGTTGATAGAATCTAGTTTGTCTCCGAGTTACTCCACAACTTCTGTTCTTCCAGGCTGCAAGTCAATCATTTTCCTGACCTCTCCGATGGTGTTCGATATTTGCTATCACAGATAGCAGAACTCAAAGAAACTAACTTACACTGCAAAGTTTATTATGCAATAAGGGGCAAAGATGAACAGCCAGATTGAGAGATATATAGGGCAAGATCTGGGAGGGTCCTGAGTACAGGAACTTGTCCATGTGGAGTTGGATGTGTGCACTCATCAACTCTCTCCAAATCCCCTGCTATTGGGATTTGTATGAAGGCACCGTCATGTGGAAATGATTGATCAGTAACTCAGTTTCTAGTTTCTCTACCCCTTGTCAAAGGTTATGGATAGAGTTGAAAAGTTTGATCTTTCTGGTGACCAGTCCCCATTAGGAGCCCACCAAGTATTCCCTCATAAGCCCTGTGTCAGAAACCAGGACAGAAAAACAAATATTAAAACACAAGTTGTTCCTAGATCTTTTATTACCTGGGAATTTACAAAGATTTTGAGAACTCTTTGCCAAGAACCAAGGACAGAAACGCACATTCATATTCTCTCTCTCTCTCTCTCTCTCTCTCTCTCTCTCACTCCCTCTCTCTCTCTCTCGTATTTATCTACAGCAGTGTTGATATGTATCTATCATTCTTCTAACTTTGATCATATTAATGTTCAATAAATGTCACATTTAAATTTTATTTATTCTTTTATTGGCAGATTCTTGTTCCATATGCTTTTAATTTCTTTTTCACTATTTCTTGGTGGAATGAGCTGTTCTAATATGCAAAATTGACATCTCATTTTTTGTAGATTCAAAAATAAAAGTCATATAAATCACATTCTTGATGTCAGAATAAAGATTAAACAAAATATTCACTTATCATGTGCCTAGCTTTTTTCAATTCCTGATTAAATTTCTTTTTAAAATATTAAACAAACCCCCAAAGTAAGTGAATTAGAGTTTTGTTCTTCCTGGACAGTGCAGTGTAGCAATATGTGAAGGGGAAGCTGATTCCATGTTTGCTTAAATGGATTTTGCATCAAATAATAAGAACTTGGAGGAATTCAGGAATGGAATACAGGATGGAGATAGAGAGATACTCTCTTTGGCTTTTTTCTGAATGGGACCAAGTGTCTGTGATTTCAGAAAAGGATCTGTTATTAAGGGAAAAATCTACTACTGTGATCTACCTAAAAGTTCCTCAGCTTGCCTCCCCAGACACTTAAGAACATGCTCCACTACTTCAACCCTGCACAAACACCTTATTTTCTAAATACTATGTTCGTAATGTTTGCCAGCCCTGTACAAGTAACGCTAATAGTAATTAACATTTTACCCTAATGCTTTCTTTCTTACCCCTGTGTTTTCAGGGTCTTAATTTGAAAAATGATCATAATATATTTCCATAAATATGTGGATAACTCTGCAACATAAAATCATGTTTTATACTCTTGAGGACATGAAAAATCTATTCTCTAAGTAGTAAAGTCTAGATCATAAATGTCTGGTTATTAATATTTTAACATATTAGCATACTGAAATTGTCCTTTCTACGTGCATTTTTTCACTTCTGTGTATGTATGTAAATATTCAACTTCTAATTTTGCCTTAGTCATTTTATTTCTCCTTTTTCAGATAATGTTTAAAGGATTCTACAGCAATCTTTGATATTGGACATATTTGGAATCTCTTCTTTGGCTCTCTGGCACCATTGCTTTCCAGTATTAACTTGGTTGTGATCACTCCCAACGTTTTACATGGTTTGCCATGGTTACATGAACTTTTCGGAAGTGATATTTGTACCATCTCGTACTTTATTCACTATGGCACTTTAGGAAAAGAAACTGGACAGAGCTTCCAAAGCAGTATTTTAAAAGATGAATCTAATTGTGAAACTGCGGAGAAGTTTTCGAACATTGATTGTTCTCTTAGCTACCTTTTGCTTGGTGAGCATTGTCATTTCTGCTTATTTCCTCTACTCCGGCTATAAACAGGAAATGTCGCTTATTGAAACTACTGCAGAAGCAGAATGTGCTGATGTCAAAATTCTACCATATCGGTCGATGGAGCTGAAAACAGTTAAACCCATCGATACATCCAAAACTGATCCTACTGTGCTCCTGTTTGTGGAGAGTCAGTACTCACAACTGGGTCAAGATATCATTGCTATATTGGAGTCCAGCCGATTTCAATATCACATGGTCATCGCCCCTGGAAAGGGTGATATACCTCCTCTTACGGATAATAGTAAAGGCAAATATATTTTAGTTATTTATGAAAACATTCTGAAGTATGTCAGCATGGACTCATGGAATCGAGAGCTTTTAGAAAAATACTGTGTGGAATACAGTGTTAGTATAATTGGTTTTCATAAAGCCAATGAGAACAGCTTACCAAGCACACAACTCAAAGGCTTTCCATTGACCCTTCTCAATAATCTAGCTCTACGAGACTGTTTTGTCAACCCTCAGTCTCCTTTGCTGCATATTACCAAAGCCCCCAAGGTTGAAAAAGGCCCGCTTCCTGGCGAAGACTGGACTATTTTCCAGTATAATCATTCAACCTACCAGCCCGTGCTTTTAACTGAATTACAGACAGAAAAGCCCCTTTCATCCTCACCCAGCAAACCATTCCATGCCACAGTGATTCAGGATCTGGGGCTTCATGATGGAATTCAGCGAGTTCTTTTTGGCAACAACTTAAACTTTTGGCTGCACAAGCTCATCTTCATAGATGCTGTTTCGTTCTTGTCAGGGAAGAGGCTCACATTATCCTTGGACAGGTATATCCTTGTGGACATTGATGATATCTTTGTTGGAAAGGAAGGAACAAGGATGAATGTCAAAGATGTGAAGGTAAGAAGATTTTTAAATCATATCATAATTTTTATTTCACTAACTTGGTGGTGTGGGTAAGATATAAATTTGACTGTTGTAGATTCCTGATTGCTAAAGATGTTAAGATGTAGTAGATCTGAAATCAAATAGAGACATAAAATAATTTTGAATTTAACCATTCCTCATACAAATACCAGATGCTTCAGAGGGAGATGGAACTAAAATATCCAGAGCATTTAAACTTAAAGTCCTTGCCTCTTCTATGCCTGCCACCATGAAACCCAATAGAACTGCCTCCCTTATTCTAGCATGTCTGAGTTTGTGGGAGTGAGACTAATGCAGTCATAGAACTCTACCCTGTACTGATCCTCCTATTCTTCTTGTGTTTGGCTTGGTGGTTTCAATACCAGGTGAAGAAGCAGCTCCAAACCTCTCACATCAAATAAGCATAGCATTTGTTTATGTGAAATTTTCATATTCTTGTTCATACAGATGAACAAAAGTATTTTTATAGAGAATGCGTAATGGAGCTGACCTCGGAATTTTCATCACTATTGCTATTATATTTATATTGTTTAGGGTAACACAACAGTGTTATTGGTAATGCTTCTGGGTTCTACTCAAATTGATGGTGTAACAAATTCACCCTGTTGTTACTAGATTTAAAAAAAAGCCAAGTATATTACACTAGGTCATGTAAGTAATTCTGAAAATAACTCCCTCTTCATTCATCTTAATTCAGTCAACATTCTCTCTTATTCCTGTGTTGTTATATATTAGCAAGGCAGTTTTTCACAAATAGTTTTAACAAACATATAAAAACAATGGGGGTAGAACATAAAAATATGATGAAAGTAAAGATTGTTAATATCAACTTTTTTGAATTTCTGGTTGTTGGATATTTTATACTCCAAAGATAAAATCTGTATATCACATCAAAATAACAGCTTTTTATCCTCTGTGCTAAGGCCTTAAGACCACTATTTAAAAGTCATGATTAAAACCAGTAAGTCATTTTTTTAAATCTTCAAGGTGCATGTGGAATAGTGTCCTCTGCGTTCAATGAACCACTGACTGAAGCATCACTTAACTGGGTTTCAAATACTTAATTTTGGGCATTGTTGTTAAAGGATTTAGAGATACCTCTTGAGCTCTGGTTATTGTTTTTTCTTACATTTCTGTATTTACTATTTCTTTAAATTAATATAAATCCTGGCTTATTCACATTTCAAAATCATAAACATATCTAAGAACTCAAGATAGGGGAGAAACATGATTCATATTTATACAGATTTAGAGAAATGTATTTTGAAAGATTGTGAAATACTAACATAAAGTTAGAAATATATGGTTATGCCCTTGTCAAGTAATATATCTAAGTAGCCCTCAAGGCATTCACAGAATGCTTCCTGTACAACCATATCTCTGGTCACTGCAGATGATCTCAGATTGCTTAGAATGATTTTACACATTTGCGCTATTCTTTCTGGGGTTTGAAAGCCAACTCTTGTTTTGATAATGACTTTTGTTACGTGTAATATTCATCTCAAAATTGATTATCAGTTGAGCAATAAAAGTATTTTCAGGGAAAGTTAAAGTAATAAATGGTCATCTCAATTGTTCAAATTTTAGAAGTCTTCTTTTTAAAGATTTATTTATTGATGCATACAAGAACTGGGGTACAGGCCAGAGGTGTGGGGGGTAGAGGGTTCACCAGAGACAGAGTGGGGAACAGAACAGACAGACTGACTGAAATACACTGTTAAGGGGAGCAGCGGACAAGACAGGAGAGGTCTGCTGCGCCATGTCGGTAGCTCCCTGGTCGGCCGTGATCAAACTTGTGCTGCAGAGGCTGCAAACAGCTTTACAGTGCTGTGCTTAACCCCTTGCACCACCAGGGAGGCCCCTAGAAGACTTCTTGATGGCCCCTAATATTATTTCTATGGATGATGCTTTAGCCTTCGTTCCAACATTTGGTATAATCATAGAAGTTTGGCAAAATTATGCCATATGTTGTTTTTTTCATTTCTCCTAAGACAGAATAAAATTCTTTCCCTAAGAGGGTTTTAAAAGACATGAGCATAGTGAATATGGACCACCACATGGGAAATGAAATTGGATTTACTATTGATCCTCACAATAATATTGGTGCTTTGATCACTTCTGTGACTTGTCATTCTTGCTGCTGGATCATTATTGACATTCTTATGCCTACAATTTTGAGAAAATATGACCATAAAGCATCTGCCATATATAAGACTGCATTAACACATCATCTGCTTAAATATGCCAACTTCTTATATTAAGGTCCTAGATTTATGTGTGTTAACTCAAATGTACAATTTTTAATACCTACTCTTTTTTTAATATGTATGCATATATATAAAAATATCATTTTTCATTTTTGTATAACATTTGATTTCTCCCCTCAAGTGTAGTCCCCCTAAAATATCCCAATACTTAGTCACCAATGAACCATCACCATAGTCTCTTCTGCTCTTCCTGTACCTGTTTTAATCCCTCTCCCTCCCCCTCACCTGCTGAATGTTTCCAATTTATAATTTGGCTGCTAGTTTTGTCTTTTTTTTCCCCCGATCCCTCGTTAGATTCTTCTACATTCTTCCTGTAAGTGAAACCATAGGATAGTTTTCTTTTTCCTTCTCACTTATTTCACTGAGCATAATCCCTTCCAGTCCCATCCATGTTGTTGCAAATGACATGAGTTTATCATTTTTTGATGGCTGAATAGTATTTCATTGAGTATATATACCACATCTTCTTGATCCAGTTACCATTTAGGTTGTTTCCATATCTTTGCTATTTTAAGTAGTGCTGCAATAAACATTCATGTTTTCCTTTTGAATTAATGTTTTTGTGTCCTTTGGGTAAATTCCTACGAGTGGAATTGATGGATCAAATAGTATCTCCATTTTTAGTAATTCGAGGGTCCTCCACACAGCTTTCCATAGTGGTTGGACCTGTCTGCATTCCCACCAGCAGTGTAAGAGTGTTCCTTGCTCTCTGTATTCTCACCAACATTTGTTCATTGTGGTTTTGATTTGCATTTCCCTGATTATAAGTGATGCTGAACATTTTTCATATACCTGTTGGTCATTTGCATTTCCTCCATTCTTTGGAGAAATGTCTTTTTAGCTCTTCTGCCTATTTTTTGACTGGATTGTTTGCTTTGTTTTTGTTGAGTCATCAACATCTATCTCTATTGCCTCCCAATAGCCACTATTTCTGTTAGGCTAGCCCATTGTCTATTTTGCACTAATGGCTTGTTCATGGTGACCTTAGCATTTTTTCCTCAACTTCTGTGTTTTGACTAAAACACTTCCTTGAACCTACCAGTATTTCAAGAGATGTTTCAAGTCCTACTTCTTATGAGAATGTGATGCATCTTCTACTGACTCCAATGAATGGTCATTTCTCTTTATACTGAGTCCCCAAATAAACAGTGCCCTTAACTCTGACTTAGCAGATTCATGTACTTGAGGAAACTCCAAAATTAGGTGTTAGGACAGTTTTCCACATATATTTAATTATATCCCAAAGTATGTAATAAGAAACCTTAAACATTATTTGAAAATATTTAATTGCCAATTATTTTATTGTTTTTTAACAGTTAGTTACAGAATTAATGTACTACCATAAGAAAGAATAATTTAAGGAGAGTTGTGAGCTTCAAGTGAAGTGATATGTATATTTAGACTATGGGGTGAAATCAGAAAAATAAAACTATGTTGTAAATCTCAAGTACAAAATAGGTGACTAATAGGGTATTTGGTTTGATCTGTTTCCCCACATAGTGTTTTTTAATGAAACTGTACCTAAACCAGTAATAAGTTTTGATCCAGATAAAGCAATTTAGCAGTATCTTAACCTGGATGTTATAAAAATTAAATGACAAAAAAAAAACAGATGTTAATTAATAGATACAGAGGGACCTGTTAATAGACACTTTTGAAGTGCAGGGAAATAAGTTTTGGTCAGTGCTAACAGACTTGTGAAAACACTTTTAAACAAGGAAATGCTACAATGAAAATATTTGAGAAAATGTTTTGCTACTGAAAGTACTAGTTCAAACTTTGCAGTAATTGATACATTAACCAAAGTCAGAGTGGTCTATGTAGGAAAAAAGAAATCAATTATAGAAGAAAATCTTAAAACTTCAGTTAATAATTTGAATAAGAATGGGTGAAATAAAAGGAAAAATAATTCCATGATTTCTAAAATTGTGACTTAAGAAAACTGTGACCTTCCTGGCCCAGACAGGTAAATTCAGATTTTATCAAAGATATTTCACAGCAGATTGAAGGTAACTTGTCCCTAGATTAGGGACAGAAGGCAGTTCCTCTTTCATAAAGGGAGGGTAGGAGTTGACAGCATGGAATTTGGCATTTTGAATTCTTTTTTATTCTTTCCTTCCTACTAGTGAACCCTAGACTAAGAAGAATTGCAGTATCACCCTTTCTAATATGGTGGAAATGTACTGAATAGCTCTACATAATAAATATTTCTGAATTTGAATGACATCTAAGGATTAAGTACCAATAGACTAAAGCCAAATCCTCATTTTTACGTATTATGCCAAGAAACTACATTTTGTTGAGAAAATTTAGATTTCTGTTTATTTTCTTAATTACAATGTTCATTGTGAACATGTTTGCTTTTTGGATACATGCAAGTGCCTTAAGGGCATTCTTTCATTTAAAACTGCTTTTAAGTACAGTCAATTATCAACACATCTTTAAAAGTATATTTTAAAATAAGATCTATTACCAAGTGTGTATTTTTTGCTTAGAATAGATTTTAAAGCAGATTGTGTACAATTGAAGTTTAATTTAAGCTTAGATAGTCCTCAAATTCATTTGCACTCAAAACAGGTTGTAATAATAGATCTAACACTAACATGACTGCTCACTTTGGTAGGTTTAAAGAATAAAATAATTACTGAGCAGAGAGAAGTATCTGGATACACCAGGGGAAAAACACAATTAAAGTCCATGAGCTAG